AAAAACATCAGGGTCCTGGACACACCACTTCAATAATATCTCTTTCCAGCTGCTGCAAAAAATTAACCTTGTCCTGGCCAAAACCAGAACAAGAGGAAAGAGCAGATGTACTGATGACTGTTTGTGAAGAAGAACGTGCATAGTACAAGCACCAGTGGTACAAATTTCATGATGAAACCTCACCAGTTCTTCTGAACTCCAATTTGAAAAGATTTTATTGAATGTTAAGCTTTTTGCTGAAAATATAAATGCTAATAATTACATAATGGTTAATGGAATGACCACTGGTTATGAGTATTGACCAACTAAATAGTTCTGAATTTAAATTATTTTCTAATTGCATGTTATTATCAGTTGCTTTATGACAACATGACAAAGTACTCGAGTAACACAGTCCAGAGCTATGTGTAAAGGGGAGTTTTATTTAAATGAAAATAAGAGCCATTTTTGAACAAAAACAATGAAAATATGTTTTTACAGTTGAAATATACTGAGATTACTTATTGTAATTGAATTTTTTCAATACTGTCTTCAGTATTTCCTACAGATAAGTAATTTCTGAAAATAGTAAAAATATCATGCTTTTATTCAGGCATGCTTTCCTAAACAGGCTAAAGGATAAGTTTTCAAATTACTTTTTAAAAACATAGGTGTCTTAAGTGAATATTTCAGAGCTGTCAGAATAGGTTTTGAACTTGATGCCCAAACTAACCTCAGTCCAACAGTAATGTTTGTGATAGACAGTTTTTTAACGTCTTTCATAATTAATATTAATATAAAAATCTCCTGAACTTCAGAATCACTCAAATGACTGAGACCAGTTTCTAAGTTTTATATCAAAGAAGGTGCATTATAGGCAGGGAAATATTCTGTCATTATTATATATTTTTAGGGGACACTTAAAAGTGTGAAGAGCATACAGGTCTTTCATGGGCATCTTATATGTATTACTGCAGGCATGAATTTCATGCCTTACATGCAACACATACGATGTCTGAACACATGGGAAATCTCATGATGTCAAAAATCTGCAGTGTTACTGGTTGTTTACAAGTTTGACCTATCATTTAAAATCTGTGAAAAATCTTTTGGCAGCTAATTAGCATTCAGTATCTGGTTTAAATCAGCGAATAGCCAAGAAGTAATTGGATTTAAATGGATCCCTGTAAAATAGATGTTGACAATTAGAAAATACTTCTAAATAGCAAACTATCATGATAGAACTCAATCCCATGAATTATGGCCAAATCTACAAAAATCCATAGGGAATGTGCTGATTGTGTTGGTCGTTGAATAGAAACATCAAGAAATTCCACTTCCAATTAAGTAGTTTATTTGTAGTAGCTTTTTTATTGTGGTACTGCTGACCTGATGCAAATAAGACATTTTTCATGGCCCATTTGAAAGATGTAAGAATTTTCATTCTGAAACTCAATTGCCATTTTATCTGCACTATGGCTTGCCAGTATTTCTTACTCTTAGTCATTGTGTGCTGCTCCCTTGTAAAATAGTTAACAGAGAAAAGATAATATTTACCAAAGTCATTGTGCATTCTGCAGGTTTCTTGCTTCTCCCTGCACAACTAACTTGTGTACATCCAGGTGTCTAAGTCACCACTTCCTTCTTGCTGCCTGTTTAGAATGCTCCTACACAACCAGTTTCATGGTTATTCCACTTACAAATCACATTTCTCATCATAGAACTAAATACCTGTTGTTCTTGTTCTGTGAATCTATCTTGGATCTTGGCTGACTTCACAACACAACTATCAGGTCTCCCTATCTAAGGCTTTCCTTTCAGCCCAATTTTCTAAAACATCCCAGACTTAGAAAAAGATTTCTTTCTGACTTCCCCAGACAGGTCGGAGATTATTTTCCTATGTGATTTTAGCTCGTGAACATACAAGTCAAGTAGTATGGAAAGTTGATTCTCCCAAAAGAAACAGTCCAACAGGATCAGTTCTGAAAGAATTTCCACTGTAATTATGTAATAGTAGGACACTAAATCTCTTAAAAATCATAAAAAATTATGTAAGGGAGAAAAACTTAATCCTTCTCAAAGCCTTCAGTTGTCTAGGCAAGCACTGCCTATTTACTATGACCAAAGCAATTTTTGGCAGTATTAATAATGCTCAGAAACAACAGAACTGTTTTCTGTCAGGAAAAACTAATCCATGCAGGGAACAATGCTGTGCTGGGAGATGTCCCCTGTGGAATTTCTGAAGGGCTGAAAACAATCACAAAACTCATAGGCTTTTTGCTGAAATACATAATGGATTTTGACCTCACCTCATTAAACAGCAGTACATAATACATTATGTATAAAACGCTAAACTCACTAAGTAAACATTTTACAACAGAGTAAAAATGGAACAGAGAAGAATGGGAATCAGAAAAATCCTATCTTGTTGTGAAATTACATGCTTTGGAAATCATTCTGGGAGAAATGTCTACAACATATAGTCATACATGTATGAGAAAGTCATCACAGGCTCTCTTTCTTTCTCTTTTGATGGAGGGAAGTTAAGCAGTCCATTTAATATCTAAAATTCACATCTAACATGAGTCAGACAACTAATTCCCAGCAGGGAGACCTATCTCCATTGACCATAAAGGGAGTCCAGGTTGACTGGCTCAGATATTCAGGGCTAAATTGTTCATATCTAACGTTGTGAGATGAATTCCAAGCTCAGAGACCACTGTAATGACGCTGCATAAGACCGTGAAAATGTTACAGTTAATTAATTCTTTAGCAAATCATCTCTACTGCAAAATTTACCTTGCAGGCATAGGAACAGCAGCACAAGGAACAGGCAAAGCAGTCTGCCTAGTGAAGGGGGCGTAAAAGAGATGCAAAGAAATTCACGTGTGAGTACTCACCACACAGAAACCAGCAGCACCCCAACCACTCACCCGTGTCCAGCAGGACCAGGAGGGATCCCTTCTCCCCTTTCCTTCTTCCCCACCACCCCCTGCACATGGCAGGAAGCTGTACAGGATAACCTCAGAGTCCTAGCCATGCCTATCCTGCCTACTGCAAATGTTAACCATGTCCCAGCCAGAACAAGGACATAGGTGTACTCCTCATGGGCAAGAACTGCACAGCTTATTTCTCAAAGTTTGTCTCTGGTTGCTACCAGATAAGAGTTACTGCATCCTGTTCTGTAAGTTATGTGCTGAGAAGAAATTTGTGTGGAAGTAAGGGTGAAGGTTTGTCTAATCATCTTATGGAACCCGTTATATGTATAAATGTCCCAATATCTTATGGCAGCACATGGTAACAGAGATTTCAGATAAGGGGCAACCTCTGTATGATTTACTATACAATAATTAGGTAGAAAACAGAAAAGACATAGTATTAACTTATATTTAAACAGCATTCTATAATGAGTACTATGTGCTTGAGTAATACACAGAACTAAAATACACAATCTGATATTTTTAAACATAGTTCATCTGTTAAATATTAAGAAACATCTTGTAAATCTTGTAAATGTTTTGCACTAAGATTAAGCCAATTTATTTCAGAACCTATAATTCCTCAGTACTAAATTGCTATACTGTTTTCAGCAATGAAAATATTTATATACACAGTCTATGAGCAACTGAGACTGATAGCAGAAAAAAAAATATTTTACCATAATGTCTGTAAGTAAAATTACATTATGAACTGCCAATTATTTGGTCTCATTTTTGAATATAAATAAACAAGAAATTAATTTATTTTGGTGGAAGTGCAGAAATAAGATGACTGCTGCATATATACTAGGGGCTAATGCATTGGCTTCTGTTCAATTGTAAACTTGGCATTCTCTGTCTTGCTAGGAAGCTAAAGGAACAAAAGATGACATCTTTCTAAAGATAAGGGTTAGAACTGAGAGCCATAAGCACGTTACAGACACAGGGTGGCTCTGCAGGAAACTTCAACAGAGGCAGGGGTGTCTTTTGATCATGTTTTGAAAGCTGTGTGAGCAGAGCATGGTGATCTCATTGATAGGAGGAAATTCAAAATTGAGAGTAGACCTTGTGTGAAACCTTTCTGAAGGCACTCTCATTTGTGAACATTATGTTATCGCAAAGTGGAGCAGTTTTTGGATGTAAGATGCCTGTGGACATACCTGGCTCATGGGAAGGGCTTGACTTTGCAATACCTATTTTGTTTCTGACATCCATGATAGGGTTAGAGTTTTTTTGCTTTTTTTGCTCAGTATAAATGAGACACATATTGCCTACTGTTGTTCTTGATAAGCGGCTTCAGCTGCTGAGTTTTCATTCTTTTGGCCAAAATTGTAAGCTTTAATGAATGGTTCAAATTGTTGCTGGTCTCTGCGCTGTAAATGTGGAAGTTAGTGAATATTCTCATCTTTTAAGGAAATGCAACCTTCTAAGATTCCTTTAAATTCAAACAATGCTTCTTTAAGAACTATAGTATAAAGTGAAACAATGCTTCTTTAGGAACTATAGTATAAAGTCAAGTTGTTTAAACCCATTAGGCAGTGGTTTTAATGTTGATATATCTTTAAATATGAATATCTGATTAATTGAGAAATCATTATTTCCTGTACATCATAAAGAATAATTTAATTTCTTTACATACATACTCTGAAGCCTAATATTTATTAGCATTCCAACTGATACATACTTGTGAGCTGTAGATTATGATATGATGGCATGAAATATTTTATGATGGGAGAATTTGAATATTATGACAAATGGGAGGAAAGTTTTTCCATTCTTTATAGGATGAAATAAATTTAAGACTCCTGAAAACAGCAGTTAATGCAGTTCATATATTAAAACATCATGTTGAGTGTATCAAAAACTAAGATGTAAGTTGAAAAGAGCAGAATAAAAATGCTTTCCAGGTAAAACTTCATAAAGTTTCTAGTTCCTAGCTATTACAATTATATCTTTATATTTTCCTTGGAGTTTTATATAAGTATTGTCACTTAAATTAAGCAACTAAGCAGTTCCCTTTCTTTTTTTTTTTCCTTTACATAGCAGATGGTACGTGAACAGTACATGACAACGACACCAGGCACGAGCCTAGAGAGGCCGAAAAATGAATATGTCTACAAAATTGGAATTTATGGCTGGAGAAAGCGTTGTCTCTACCTGTTTGTTCTCCTCCTGCTTATCATCCTAGTTGTGAATTTTTCTTTGACAATTTGGATTCTTAAAGTGATGTGGTTTTCCCCAGTAAGTGTCCTCTTTAATTTTCCATTCTTGACTTCTCTTCCCTGCCTCACCCTTCACTTATTTTGCATGTAAACCAGCTTCTCTGTAGGTAATGGATGGTTCTTTTTTCTTTCTTCTCAATTGTGATTTGTACTTTGGCTGAAAGTATGTTAGAAAAATCTATCTATATACTTCCTCATATATAATTTCTATATTAGTAATAATTTTTGAAATACTGAGGTTGTTGATGCTTTAGATTGCAGTGAATTCTAACCATTCTATGAGAATGTATTTTGATGTTGTCTCATAATCTCTGTTTAGTTGATAGTTTATAAATGTGTTTGCTGTAATTTTATCTCATACAGAATTCCTTAGTTAAAATATTGCTGACAGCTGCTGTGGTTTTTTAGCTTATTTCTCCTATTTATCAGCATCTAAAATGTAATAATTTATTTGCCCAATTAATTACAGCTTGGAGGCAATTATCAGTACTTCATGCTTGAGGCCCAGCAGCTACATAATTCAGAAATAAATTTAATAACTTTCCACTGTCATATATATATTTATAATGGAATTTTGCATGTAGTAGATTAAAGGGTATGTTTCAGAAGTCTGCAAGATACGACTTTAGTCAGGATGTAATAAAATGCATCAGTGAATATTGAAGCTAAGCTAATTTGCTCCTAACATGCAGTTGTGATACACAGATGATTTGAATAGACTTGTTACAAGAAAAACCATAATAATAAATTTCTACAGCTCTGCCCTGGCTACTGAAGAAAGTTTCTGTTATCTATTGTTATTGCACCTCTGTCACTAAGGGAAGACCACTTCATCTTAACATAAATATTTCTATGCTCACTAAAAAGAAAGTATTTTAGTTTTCAGTCCTACTTACTAATATGGTTTTTAGTGCTTGAATTCCTGTGAAGGGTCTTCCCCTACATGAATTCGTTACAGCACTGTTACTGCCATACAGATTAGAGTGCAAAACATCTTAGATCACACATAATTTTTCTCTTATGCAGCTCGCATGGAAGATATGCTTTTAGTGCCTGCCTGTCATAAATCACAGAGAGCATGAAAAACTTTTGTTTTCTGTGTGGCTCAGGGTTCTATTTTGACAGAGTTTTAAAAAATATTTTTTTGTTGATTTGATTCCTACATATGAGCTTGGGTATTTCTTCTCTGATACCGGTGAGGATTTTAAAAAAATAGAAAGTCTACTTACAGGAATGCCCATCTCCTTGTGTGGTTCCTGTGTGGAAGATACCAAATGCCTTGGTCTGCTGAGGGACAGTGTCCTTACGCTTTTGCAACAAGAGCAGTGGAGTAACAGCTCTAGCAGTGCAGGTTTACATCCTTCCACAGAGTGAAAGGGCTGTGAATGCCACAATTACAAGGAATTTCCTAATTCTGTGTTAAAGAATCTGTATGCCTATGTGCCCAATTGGATAGTGACTTAACTGTAATGCCTTCATTAATTTGGGATAATTTTAGGGAAATACTGAAATTCAGATAAATATCAACTGTAAATTAATTCGTGCAAAGTGCACAGGTATGTCACAATCCTCAGCAAAAGTGAATGTGATGTTGTTAAGAAGAGAGAACTTCTTTTACTGGGTGTTGTATTAATAGACTACATCTCTCAAGACAAGAAGTAACTCTGAGGATACCAGAAATCTCACCCAGAGAATCACAGAGAAGCAGTGCTAGCCACTGAGTCTGAGAAGGATGTTTAGTGTACATTCAAATCTGCAAGCATATAATTGAAGCATCACAGTTCTTTCCTGTGTCAAAGGAAACACCAATTATGAAGAATTAGTGCAATAGTTATAATAAATTACCAATACTATCATAAAACCCTTTTCATGATGGAATTAAGCATTTATTTCTCCAAGTATTTTGTTGCTGTTTGAAAAGAGAAGTATCAGTATAGTGTCAGAATTATATTTTTATGATTCGTGAGTTCCAAGCTTGACAAGTATTTGCTGTTTAGGAAATGAGTTGATTGATGTATATCACACTTACCCAATTAAGAATTCCCATGACTGGAAAGAGTTTAAAAATAATTGCAAAATATTATCCTATATGCAATCATCAGTTATTTAGCAAATATTAACCTGTCAACTGTGATAACACTTACATTTATTAAATGTATTCTAGGTATACTGTGTAGTATACCTAGAATACATTTAGAGATTATAGGACTATGTTTAATATTCATAATAGATATTGTATTTATTCAAGAAACAATTTGTATTGTCACTAAGGCTGATAAATGTACTTAGAAAAAATGTCGCCAACATTTTAAAATATATTTTTATAGTAGAGTCCTGAAGAGAGTGTATGCTGAAGGAAAAATTCAAGCATAATATGACTGCAGTATATAATTTTATAAGGAAAACAGATTTTCAATAATAGAGGTGTTGGTGCTTTAGTGATTGATTGACGTGATTCTATAGCACAGCCCTTTCACAAGCCCACTCAGAGCTGACAAACTGGTTATTTAGACATCAAAGTTTCTTTAGTTGTATAAAAAGTGTTCTCTTTTTCTATAAAGCATCCTTGATTCTTTCATTAAGTAATAACTTGCAGTATACAAAAATCACATGCTATGTCTATTCAGAGATCCAGATTAAGATAATAATGAAATTATGAACAGAGCTTGAAGCATTGAATTAATCCATGCACACATGTCCTGCCTTAACCCCCATAAAACCAGACAGTGTGATAAATACCAGCAAAGAAGCTAAGCTGATAAAGGAGAACATGAACCAGACACAGATATGCTGCAAGATGAATAGAGTTTGATCTCCTTTTACAAATTTGGAATGATGAAAGGCAGAAACTTTTCTAAGCTCTATTGTTTGAGAGGCCTTTGGCATCAAATGTAGATGACTAAATGGAACAGAATTTCATTGTTTCATTTCATTTCACTTCATTGCATTTCATAAAAGCTAGACTAAAAGAGAACAACCTGAACAGAGAATATATCCCTTTTCTCATGCTGCCCAATTAAAAAACATATGGGCATCTCCAAATTGTGCACATTAATTCAAAGGTATCAGCTGTGCCTCATTCTTTTTTTTCCGTTTTCTCTCTTGCAGTTCAGAGGGACAGTGTCTCAAGTTTTTTTGTGGGAATAAGCAAAGAAACCTGTGAATTCATTATATCCAGCTGTTTCAGAGAAGACATTCAAATAATTATGCCTTGAGTTTGGTGAATATGGTGAAATAGAGTAATTTAAAAAATACCATTTTTTTTGCATGAAAATCAGTTTGAAAAAGGGTTGGGTTTTTTCCCCTGGACAATGTATCACATTTCTCATGTAATGGAAATTTCAGATTCTGTTTTTAACATAATGAGGCTTTCTGAGCACTAAAAGGGACTACTAGTTTTAAGAGTTTAGAAAATGAAGAATCTTAAGGGGTTTAAGGCTGCAAGGATGTCAGAAGTCCTGTGGACGATTCTGAAGCATCCATTAGGTCTGAAAGAGAGGACCTTCCATGTCTCTGATATCTGCTGTAAGACAAGTGTGGCAGGATGCAAGCAGTGAAGATTTCTAGAGGGTGTCAGCAACAGCTTCTGAAGAGGGCAATTAAAGGTGGCACACAGCTGGATCTGCTACTCACAGGATCCCATGGGAGCCAGATCTGAAGGGTAAAGTTACCCAGAAAAGCATGATCAAGTTTAAGGACTGTATCCTCCAAATGTAGGATGGATCAGTCCTGATAGTTAGATAAATTTCCTGGCTTAGCTGGGCAGGTTACTTGTGATGGAGCTTCAGTGAAAAAGTAGTATAGAAGAGTTGGAAGTAGATAAAGGCTACAAAGAAGAAATTTCTAAACAGTGTCTGGGCCAGGAAATGTGTCAGGCTTTCTGTGTCAGAAATGCCAAAGCTCAGCTTCAGTTAAGAATTACAAAGGGCAAATGGCAACAGAGTCTCTTGCAGAGTCACTCTCTACAGTGTTTGAAAGATATTGGAGACTGGGGAGATCCTGGGTGGCTGGAGGAATGCAAGTGTTGCACTGGTCTTTAGAAAAAGGGGACCATGGGTTTACCAAGAGTGAATGATGCCTGACCAATCTGATTGCCATTTTATGATAAAATGTCCGGAATTATAGATGATGGGAGGCCACAAAATATTATTTACCTTGACTTCAGCAAGGCTTCTGACTTTTTCCCCACAATATTCCTTCCCCTAGTTGGGGTATTACAGCCATGAGGAGTGGACAAACAGATAAGTATAAAAAGTAAACTGCCTGGGTAGTTGGGTTCTGAAGGTAGATGCTAATGTGTTGTGGTCTGTATGGAGGACAGCAATAAGCATTGTAATTGTCTTGTCCTGGCTCTTCTCCTTTGCAAAAACTTAACAACTTGGGTATTGTTAAGAATGCTTGCTCACTGAATTAGCAGGTTATATCAGTGTGGGGGTACCATTCAAAACTTCCAAGGCTCAGGCTGGAGGTCACACTAGCTCCAGGCCAGGATTGTCATGCTAGGTCTCTTGAACTCAGGTGTGAAAAATGCACCTGATGAGGTGATTACCATTCCTGATGCTCTAGCAAATCTTTTTCAGAAACCCCTCATTAATTCGGTTATTGTATTATTTAGGTTTTGTCACATTATCATAACACCAGGAACAGTTGTATGCCAAAGATTATTTCTGAATTTTTTTTGCCTCTGATGGAGACACCCATGTTTTCCATAGATTTTAGTGGATACCGCAGCTATCGTGGTCTCCTGGAATAAGAAAGGAAATTGCATTGTATTTCATTTTGATAAGGACAGATAGCAATGAAGCTGCACTGTTTACCAGGATAACTAGTTGCCTCTTCTTCAGTGTGGAGTTTTTTTTTTCCTCTGACAAAAATTTTAAGCACAGTATAAGAGAAGTAGACAGGTCTTTATAGCTTTAGATGCACTGCTAATCAAACATAGTTCAAATCTGTGCTCAATCTCAAGTTCTTCTGCCATCCATATCAAACCTTACTTGGGTTTAAGGCTAACAAGAAGAG